GTAACTATTTTTTCGTTTCGATTTTGATAGTCATGTGTGGGATAGAAGTATTTTCTTTTAAAACTGATAAGTTTCGGCTTGAAACATTGGTTAAATATATTTGTTATTAGAACTATAGTTAAAACTGCAATTATTATAAATACATTTGAATTAATAATGCACAGATTTACATTTGTGTAGAAGTAGAAAGCTACACTTACCTAAAACTATAGTCTATGTTTAAATATTGTTTGAAGTAGAGATTTTGAATAAATTGCAGTTTTTCTAGAGTTTATTGGATATTATTTTTTTAATATTGTTTTTATTTTACAATTTATATTTGAAATTAGATCCATCTAGTAGCTGTTCTAACAGATTAGTCTTCGACCAGATTTTGTCTGGTATCAGTGCACGTACAGGAATGTTTTGAATTTTTTTATGGGCAATTCACGTCTTTTTCATTCATTACTTTTTTGGCTTCTTAAAACATCAAAAGTCTTCAAAACAAGTCGCAAAAACCATGCACGAATTTTAAGTCATACGTTTGATGAAATTTCAATTAAAGTTACCGGTATAATTTTTAAATTAAGCATTATATTATACCGATGAACTGCAAAAATAGTAGATACTTCAAATCAAAACCCATTGGTGTTGGTTGATCTATTAATACATACATTAATATAGACGATAAAAAGTTATCTTCATTGTTTAAAAAAAATCAAGCAAATTGTAAATAGTTTGAGAATTTAATTCCTATATTTTCAAAAGTTCAATTTTTCTACATAAATCTCCAGAATACTGTTTTTTCAGAATTTTTGGTAGTACTTAAAGAAAACTCAAATCGAATGCCAATCCAGTGATTGGACGTCCGGTATGATGGTTGAGTTCTCTTCATTCAATCTAAAATTTCAGCAATTTTGTTTGAGGCATAATGTCATATTAAGAGACAAAACAATATTATTTCATTTATACATTTGTATAATTATCGGTGCGGTAATGAATAAGTATCAGCGGCGGCAGTGTGTTGTGGGACGTCCTTGCTCCGGAGAAAATATACGCCGATGAGTCGCGGCAACACGGGCAAGTCGCGCTGACTACGCGATACCGGTGGCATTGAATTAACAACAAATAGATACGTACCTATACGACGAACGTTTGGTTACAATGCTTTTAGTAATATATTAATTGTTGATTTAAATTGGAATGGATTTACAATTAGTTATGGTTGTTCTTCTTCAAATTAATTATATGTCAAAATAATAAAACAATTCGTACTCATTACGAAATTTTAATTCGCGCTCTTCGTTTATATTCTATTTGGATAGAATGACAACTTGAATTAGTGCTGAGTCCTTTTCCATTTTCAAATGGTGGTATATAACTTGGGAATCTGTTGGCAAAGCGCGCATGCAGTCATTGGCTTATTGTTAGTTATTTTTATTCCTTGAATATGTTCATAAAAAGAACAGTGTTTGCATATTTACGTGTACACGAAGTGGTTTATATGCATATTTCTTTTATATTCGTTGTTCTTTTGCACGATCGAAGAACACATCCGGTGACCGGTGGCTTTTGTGTCAGTCGGGAACGGGAATACGGTGGAGCTCGAAAATACGGGAAAAGGACACATTACATTATATAAAATCGAGCAATCCAGCTCGTAAGGCAAAAAATAAGGTCAGTAATAAAGCGAAAATTGTCAGTCTGAATCCTCAGGCTGCTAATCGCCGAGTCCCACGAGTTTCGTTTCCCGAGACAATTGACCGAAGCCATTCCTTCCCATGATTAGAGTCAAAAACTTGCACGGACGTCGAAAGGCATTTATTTGTCGACTCTTTTCTGGCTTAGTTAACGTTTTTCATGACTTCGTATGAATTAAAAGAACGACGCCGTCATCGAGCGGTGTATTTCCCAAATTAAATAACGCGCTTTGTAAATAATGATTCACATAATACATAGAGCGTTTATATCACTATTAGCTACTGGTTGTTTCACTAGATGTAATGGGAAATTAAATATATTGATAAAAAAATAATAGGTGCCGCGCTCGTTATAGGTCGCCCTCGAAAACTACTTTTTTTCGTACCGACATGTCACACGTTGATAAATAGCACGAAATCCATACGATTGCCGCTCATGAATTAATGTTTTTTATGATAAAACTTGTGATTATCGTCAATTACCTTACAACGATATATTGGTGTGGGTGTTTAGGAGCTGAAAAAAAGTAAAACTTCTTGTGAGATTAATACTTTTAGTGTCCGTGTATTATCACCATCGGCCGTTGCGTCGCATCGTGGGAACTGTTGCTGCTGTTGTTGTTGTCCATCATTGTATCATATTGTATATAAACTAAACCTTGTCTTAACGAAATGTTTAATTTTATTTATAATATTATATTAATCACTATTATGATGAAAATGTATTTGAAAGGCATAGTAACAATAAATCATATAAAAGCGAATTATTTTACTCGCGTTATTCTCACTTTAAATTTATTTAATCTGCTAAACTAGAAAATTTATGTTAATACCACTAGCTGTGTTCATCCGAGCAAAACTATTTATCACATATAAACATAAAAAGCACAATTTCTAAGCTCATTGTTACGATTACAAACCGATTCGTGTATATCGACGTCGCATTATTACTGATCATATGTAGTTATTGCTTTTTTATTGCATTGTATTTTTTACATAGATTTATGCCTAACAAAAAATAAATATTTCAGAAAAAATGTTACGTACGCTTATTACTTTAACCTTAATACGAAACATAATTGTGCAAGACTTAATGAGATCAGTCGAGGTAAAATATCAAGTTTATTTATTTGTAATAATTCTTTCAGGACTTGTTACAAATTTTTCATAATCCAGAAGCAATTCGAAAGAATATTTAGGGTGATTGAACAAAATGTCATAGGTTGTTGAAATGTTCACTTTATAGACAACTTCTGCTTATGCAGGATATTTCAAAATAGTTTCTTCACGACTTGATCCAAAAGCAAATCGATAAAGTATTTAGGATTAATGAACAAAATTTCTTCGTAAAATTAGAATTTTGCAACATGCGCCTCTCAAAATATATTTATCGGATAAAAATATATTTGCAAAGATTCAAAAACTTCAGTAATAATTACATTTATTTTTGTAATAATAAATTTTTATTACTAAAATCTAATTATCTCAGCACTACTTATGCTATAAGTCACCATCGTTGATTTATAATATTAGTACATTTATGCCACTTTTTCTTGCAAATTTTGGAACGTAGTAACGTAAATAATTCAGTAGATCTTTTAATATGAGATGATATATTTTATTGCCGGATACGGTTTTTTTTATTATGGTGTTAATAAGAAGGATATTTTTTGCTGTCGTCGACTTGGTCTGGCCAGAGAGCGATCATAATGCAATCGAGCGGTCGTTTGCATATCGTAGCGTTCAACCCAATCAAGAGTTCGAGTTCTCCCTTTATCGTAGTCGAGTCGGCGTGCAAGTGCGGCTTTCAGTTTTTTGCCACCTTCTCCATAGAAATGCGGATATAACGAATCACGACAAAAGTGATAAGTTCTAAATAGCACTTCGAACACGTACTACTATGGCTTACTGAAAATCGACCGAGAAAATCAGGCGACAGCATCGGTTTGTAACCGTTATGGAAACGAGATGAATACGGAGACGTCATCGGCTTGGTTCAGTGAATGCATCGATCGGCGGATTGTCTGTGTTACGTTGACCACAAACCATTCGATTTTGTTCAGATTTCTATATTATGTTGGCTTGTATCGCTATTACATATCGTACAAAAGCGCGCACGTCCACCCTCGGGCACTGTTCCATGTCACAGGTGTTTCTTCACCTATATAACACATCATTCAACACTGATATTTACTCATAGACCTATATTAGATGGATAGCCCAGTTTCTGACTCAAGTCTGCTAAGTTGTCTAAAATCACAAGCCATTTCATCTAGTTGTAATGTTCGAAATTCGGGAATGAGACTCTTACTGTTAAAACACTTATAGATCAGTTCTTTCTTAGCTGTAAAATGATCAATTTGACAAATTGTTTATTTGATTTGTCAGTTTTGAAATGTGTGCCATTTTCAAAAAGTCTTTACCGCCATAATTATAAACATGCATATTTGAAAAGTAAGAGTTTCATTGTTTGCCGTAATACTTACTATGCGTGCTCATGAACCATGCTACGTCTACGTTATGAATGAATGTGCTATTTCAGCGTCAATTTAAATCCATGCAATTTCATGAAAATTATCAACAATTATTTTGATAAATTTTGTCAAAGCAATTAACTATATTATGAATTTATCATTTGCAAAGATTAAAATATTGATGAAAAAAAATAGAAAAACTGAAACAAACTGAAAATTATAATTTGCATTCATTGAAAATTATAAAAGGTGTGTTATCATTGGGAAATGATAATAAAATACATTAATTTATTACTATCCGTTGTTAGTGGTCATAATCTAAATATGAGTATCTTATTAATATCTGAAATCACATGAAATTATGAAACTAAACGGAAATGATATAACATTTACTCATGAGCGTGTCTTAACTTGCATTATACATGGTCTGTTCAAAAAGTACCCGGAATTACTAATAATTAATTTCGCGGGTCTGGAGTGTCTAATTGTCAAAATTTTTTTTTTATTGTGTTGGTATACATGCCCCTAAAGTATGATGAAATTTTCAGCTATATTCACTGTTTACTTTGTCTGTGGTAGTCGCTAAGGTTCGACGTGTTTTTCTGAGCTCGGCGATTTTTACAATGGAAGAATTGAAAAAGTCAAAGAATTTGTATTAAATTTTGCGTAAAAAATGAAATAAAGTGTTGCAAAGTGCAAAAATTCACCAGATATGGCTCCGTGTGACTTTTTCCTATTCCCAAAGTTGAAGAGACCCATGAAAGGACGGCGGTTTTCCTCGATTGAAGAAAATCGCCGAGAGTGCTCAAGGACATATCAAAAAGTGAATATCAAGGGTGCTTCGAAAATTGGAAAAAACGCTGGCATAAGTGTATTATATCTGGGGGGGACTACTTTGAAGGGGACCACATTAATGTAGACGAATAAATAAATATTTTTTTGAAAAAACGAAAATTACGAAAACTTTTTGAACAGACCTTACATGGCACTTATGTGTTTTTATGTGTTTGTGTATATATGTATATTTTTGAGCTTTTAAAAAAATCAAATTATATGTTACTTCTTTCTGCATTCGTAAAATGCGTTTCGTGCCCACAAACCCACAATTGCGCTTTTCAGAGAAGAAACTTCCAACATCGAAAGCTCTTGGTCTGGGTGCTCTATGACCACATCCAACCGAATTCGCTTTGGCTTTGGCTCTGGCTC